ATTTAGAAAGGTTTTTAAACGACAAAACACACTCATTTACACATATTTCTGAATCGGAATATCAGATTGTTCATGACATGGTATGCAAGTTTGTGAATATTTTAAATAAAAAAGGAAAAACGAAATAAAAGCGATACATCTGTCATACAGTGTTATTTTGGCCGCGGTGTGTCATGTGACAAGCCTGATGCGTCGCCATGGAAACGTTCTAAAATAACGGTCGCCTTAAAAAATCACTCTGGGGGGACCGCTAAAACATTTTAAACTCACCACTGAAAAGGTTAATATCGGCCAGGCCGATAATCAGTCGACCCCTAATTGTGAACATTGAGCTTGCACCGTCCAGTACATTATTTTCTCTGCGGTGTATCTGTACACTTCTATTTGCATCTTCAGCATGTCTCATCTCTTGCCCCTGTTAACATCTTGTTCAAAGACTGTAATAGTTCCACACAAATTACATTTTGGGAAATGACTACAATGCATTTTGTGTGCAAGAGATCGGCCAAAAAAAAAAGAAAAAAAGACTGGTGGCAGATTTTTGGAGCAAAAACCAGCTTCCAGTCTGATTGATGGTCGGTTGACTGCTGCATCTTTACAAGTAATAAAATGGGAGATAGGCCCCATTACATCCAGTGAAGTTGAGGTGCTCTTTTCCGTTTATATGGTCCATAATCTGGTAAGGATAGCTGCTTTCCTCTGCTCCACATCCACAACCTGTGCTAAAGTAATGGCAATGTAATCTAATAAGGGCTCATGGAATGCTCAGGCAGTATTAGTTGTTGTGGAATAGGGTCATGTGGGGTTTCAGTACCACAGGCAGACTTCAGCACACCGCTGATGTCATTTGCAGGGCGACAAAATCCACCATGAAGAGCCTCGGGCAGAAATGCATAAACCAGCACACATTCCACACCTCTCAAAATTGTTAAAGCCATGCTAGGCCCACATACACATACTAATAGGTTGAACAACAAGGCTGAGTACACAATCTTTATGGTAGGAAGTAGAAATGTACCGCTTATTCATAAAAAGCAGCTCATGTAAATTGTAGTGGATTTCCCTAGCTTTGAAATTATCCAATTCAATAGTTTACATTCATCACCAGATAGCATGAAGTAATTGGCCCGGGCAACTTCTGATAATGACTCGGCTCGGTTCAGTCATAGATGGTTACATTAATATAGCAATAATTATCATAAAACTGTTTTAAACTGACTTAAGACCTTTACGGTATTTTATAAAGTTAACTAAAAAATCTGCGATAAAAAATGTATATATTAAAAGTGCTTTATAACAATATTTATAACAATAGCAAATCTATTTATGTAACGCGCAACGGGTCATTCTTTTATACGCTTGCTTGTATGTAATTTAAACGTGCTTCATTGCACTCTCAGGTGATTCATTCACCTTCTCCCACACAGCGTGGGAGGAGTCTCGTACCTGTGCTCGTGGGCGATGTCCGCCATGTTTGTGCGGTTTGGATGCAAACAAAACAATGGATTATTTACCAAGAGATATCTATGGTAATAGTTGTAAATGATTAGATCAGTGTTTCCCAACCGGGGTGCCAGTTATCTATTTTAAAATTTCTAAAATGTTCAAAAAAAGCATTCCAATTTCTGATGTTGCCAATAATTAGAGATGCACGGAAATTTCGGCTGCCGAAAATTAGTTCACCACTCAGGTTTCACTTTCACGTGGTGTGGCGCTCTGCGTATTATCCCGCTCTATGCATGTGCAGTGATAGACACTGTCTCAGTCGCTCCACTCGTATACCGTTCATGCGAATCGAAACAGCAAAGTCCACTCAAAAATTGAGCCGACAGGAAACATCGATGTAGTACAGTATTGTTTCTGTCTGCAATAGCCCTACGGTGTTGTAACATGGTGTGGTATATGGGCAACTCTGGTAACGCTGCCCTCTCATTCATTGATCTGCTAACGTGACAAAAAAAAGGTTAGGCAACACTGGATTAGATGATCAAAACAGTACAAAATGTGTTTCATTTCAAAACTTTGCCATTTACCAATGTGTTGTTCAAAACACTAAGTTTTGATATCTCTTTACAATTAGGTAATCATTAGTTAGCATTAGTAAATTTTGAAATTAACATTAAATAACAATGAGCAATACATTTGTTACAATATGTATTAATGTCTGTTGCTGTTAAAAAAACAACTGTTCTTTGTTAGTTCATGTTAGCTCAGATCCATTAAATAATGTAAACAGACAACTTTTGTTTTTAATAATGTATTAGCAAATGTTGAAATTAAGTAAGGTTAATATGTTAACATATTAGCTACAGTTGACTAAGGTTAATATTAAGTATTTGCCATTCTTAGTTCATCATTGTTAGT